TATCTGCTACATGAATACAATTAGCAATAAAACAGCAAGATAAAAGATTACTTTTTAATTTTGTACCACTGTGAACATCATTGTACTTATTTTCAAGGCTGATTGGATGGCACTGCTGAGAGAAGGTGGAAAAAAGAAAGAGCTTACGTGTGAGCATTAAAATTAATATAACTTTTATTAAAAAGAACATTATGGTGGCACTATCAAGTCCCCAACTGTTCTCTGTCATCTCTGGCAGATGAAAAGGAAAAGAAGCCCTGCTGTTTGCGGGGAGAAGGTCCCGTGGCTAGTCCATCACTATTTCGCTTTTGCTCCGTATTTCACATTACCACCCCACTTCCTAACAGTAGTCTCTGGAAGATGAAAGTGGACTCTCACTGAGAATTTCACACAAATGGATTAATTTGTGTCGCCATTTTTGGCACGTCGCCATGGATACGGCCATCTGACAGCCTCAATGCAGCTGTGAGTTGATTGAGGGTCCATTCACAGTTCAAGGCTTTACAAAACCCATAACAAGAAAGAACGCTCATTAGTGGACAAAGACCCTACTTACACATGTGGTGATGCCTCAAAGGGTGAATGCTACCTCTCAGTAAATCTGATCTTCATAGCAGTATCACCAAGGAAAGTAAGAATTACACCACAAAAGAGCAAATTTTAAAATGTAGAGTTAGACTATATACACATATTTATATATACACACAGACATATATATACACACACAAATGTATAGTATATACTATATATATATATATATATACACTAGACACCCACACACACACACACATGTATATATATATATATTTGATACCTTGCTTTACTTTCTTTTCATTTAAATCTAGGTAACTAACAGTGAAATGGAAACACAAAGCAAGGAGTGTGTGTGTTGTATATCCTATTTAAAAAAAAGAAAATCAAACGACAAAAAGCCATTTCTTCTTATAAACTTACAGACTGGTATTAGATTAATAAAGGAATAGCTTCTGTCACTACGAAATGGAAAATCTGCCTTCTGCACGTATAGCACATTGTGAAGTATAATATTGACATCTTAGACGGTCACACACCCAGGTGTGCAGACACTAGCTTTATTTCTCTGGGATTAAACTCAGCTCGTGAGACTCCAGTGCTGCTTGGCAGCGAAACACCGTCTCCTCGAGGTGCACATCACACCCTCCAGGGTGTATGCCCATCAGTTCAGGAAGCACGCTCCTTGCGGCTCTAATTCCGGGGTGACGTCTGAGTGGCTGGGGCGGCGAGTCCATTGCCCTGTAACAAGGCGGGGAGGTGGTCCTGTCTCGGGCGCCCTCACAGGCCTCACAAGGCCTGCGTCTCTGGCGTTGAGCCCTGACCCCTGGCCTGCAGTCTATTCTACTGGCGTTGATATTCACGCACGGCCTCCAGTCATCAGGTCCCTGTTCCAACGTGCTCCTCAGCCTCGACGCCAGCCGTCTGTCTGTCTGTCTGTTCAGCCACTTCTGCAGACTTTGGGGTTGGTCGGGGTGGGAATGCTTGCCTGCTTTTCCCAGGCTACAGGGAGATGCCTGAGACTAGGAGGCTGACCTTGGACCTCACTGCACACACATCCCAAGTACCTGAGACACAGAAAGAAGCCTTTCAGCTAACGGGACACAGAGAAACTTTGTCAACTCCGCTGAATCACGACCAGCTCTCACTCTCACATTATGTGTCATTAGCAGAGTAAACTACATGTGAAGTTGCTCTTGACACTTTGATGTTCTTTAGCCATGAGTCCCCCTTTATTTCTATCAAAAGGCCAGAAATAACAACTCCTTCAGGACTTCCAGGACCCCAGATCCCTGCTGTTTTCCTTGGAATCAGAATCAAAAGACATCATTTGGCACATAACACATGGATAATATAAGCTAATCCATCAACAAGACAGCCTAAATGAACCTGAGATCCTACTGTCCTCTCCTTCGCTAACAGATTCACAAGGATTTACTATTCCATGGCCTCTCTTTTTCTGTTAAATTGGGCAGAAACACCAAATTAGAACAAATGTTTTGGAACTGCTTACTTAGAAATATTTCATGTGACTTAAAATTTTAGCACCAAATGAATCAGAGCACTGATCAACTGTGGAATGTGAGAGTACTTGCCCACATTGTGCAGGTGAATCTTAAATTGAAATGTTCTTTGTTAAAACAACAACAACAACAACAACAAACAAAGTCTGATGACACTATTCTAAACCAGTGGAAAAGGTTAAAAATAATGTGCATCGTCTATGGGAATAAGTCGTGTAGGTAAAATGTGGAGCTGGATGAGATATGAAAGATTTACATACTATGTCTTTTTTTCTATGTCATTGTTTATAAATTGTCCAAGTTCATTTACAGAATTTGAAGGCTCAGAAAGACTTCAGGGAGGAAGGGGGAAGCAGCTGCGGGCAATCTAATCCATGTGATGAAAAGGAAAGCCAATTAATGAGAAGAAAAGAACTCAGGAGAGAAAAACTCATACAGCACAATAAAAAGTATAATGTACATTTCCAAAAGAGAGTGAGTAGTAGGCAGTATAGAGAAATTAATTTTCAATTTTCTTGTTTATATCTATTGTAAAGGCTGTTTTCTACCTCTTCTTAGATAATGATAATATCAGATCTTTTCTTTTTCTTACAGTTGTGTCCAGAATCCAGTGGTAGTTAGCTTTGAGATGATACTTTGATGAGAAAATAATAGAAGAGCCTTTTTAGTCTGTTTTCTGTGAAGACTCAATCCAATATCTTTTGAAAATGAAATGTGGCCAGATAAAGGTCAAAAGTCCTAGCCCTTAAAAATATTAAATAATACTAAATAAAGGAAAGAATGAATAGCTGCCCGTCTGGAAAAAAGTTATTTCATTTATAACAACCATTGTTATAAATGGAGAGACAGCTGACATAGTGTTTTGGAGGACTGATTTTTCAAATATGTGCAATTAGAGAACAGGAATGAATGGGGAAATTGCTCCAAAAAGAGAAGTAAGCAGTCTTTCATCTTAGAAAATCCATAGTTGGAAATCTCAGTGTGTATCTTTTTAAGTCTTAGTTGATTTTTTTTTTTAATGTATGAAACCTTTTGGGTGTCAAAAGGATTTCAAGCAAAATAAAAATCAAGAAACATAAAGCTCTGAAAAGAAAGTTACAAATTAAATATAGAGACACATTGATCTGGATTATTATAAGCATGTGGGCAAATAGCTATTAATTTTGAGTGTTTTCACTCTTAGTACAGAAGCATTTTAGTTATTTTAAAGATTTATATCTATTTAATCTGGACAGTGAAAGTCATGACACTTCTGTTTTCTAAGATCTTGCATGTTATTTATCAAAATAAGACATACTGGTGTCTGCCTGTTACATCAGTGTTGACTCCATTAGGAATGAATATAACTATATTATTGGCTGAAGTGATCATTTTATAGATGACTATAAGAAAAATCTTAGCACTGGTTGATGGTGACACATTCAGCTATAAAGTTTAAATATTTGTGTCAATAAGCCAATAAAACATAAACATTATACAACTTGATTATGACCATATTTATGAAAATTCTTTAAGTTAAAACTTAAAAATAGAGACTTAAAAACATTTTGCAGATAATGAAGGCTTGTGGGGAAGAAGCCTGTTTATAAGCCCAGAAAAAGCAATGGTGAAGAAGAGGAATTTCGAACGCGTGGTTCTGGCCTTGGGCCAGGCCTGGGCAGCGACCATGTGAGCCGTCAGCAGGAGCGGTCCTCAGTGGGCCTCGCTGCCCTACACTTTAAAAAACGGAAAGCAACAAAATTTGTCAGAAGTGCCAAATTTATATTACAGAATACAATAATACATGTCGTGCTTTTGAGTAGAAAATTTGACCTTGATTTTTAAATGTCATTATCCACAGAGAGTTGGACATGATGTAGCAAGTAAGCAACAACAGCGAAACAGCAATAATGTGAACCCATATTTTAGAGTTTATGTTCTCTAATTCTATTCTCTGCCCACCGTTTACTTCTAATGAGATATCTGGCCTGATAACTCTGAATTTCACAGTTTATTGCCAATCTCATTTTACTTCTTGTTGATATATTTTTAAAAAACAACAGCAACTATATTTAGTCCAGATAGAGTAACATGAACTGACTTTTCCAGAGTATATTGCAGTGCCCAGCAGTCTACTGCCCACTTTATGTTCTTTATCTCATCGAAACCTCAGTGCACACCCATACCAGGCACTGTTAGTGTCATTTTACAAATAAGCGAGTTGATACACATAGAGGTTAAGAAATTTGCCCAGAGTCTCAAAGCTAATAAAAAGCAGAGCAGAGACGTGAATCCAGTTCTGATTATACTCACCACTTGCAGATAAAATTCTTCAAATTTCTTGATTCCTTGTTGTATACCTTATATTATTAGTACATCTATCCCTTTATTGATGAGGAAGTTTCCATAAAGCTAAACTAAACGTGGTATATTTAGGCTTAACTAAATATGAAGGTTTTGTTCTGATTGATTAAGATCAAAAGGCAGCCTGGGAAATTTTTTAGAGAGGCTGTCAAGTATCTGGAAGCTGAAATTTAAAGTACAACAGCACAATACTTGGGCTGAGAGTGAATCAAATGTCAGCAAAGGACATGCTACCTCGAGAGCACACAGTTCTTCAGGCCTCATCCTTCGCAAAAGGAGCTGGGAGGGTGGAATGATTTCATGATCTCATAGTCACCACTTGTTTCAGTTTTCCATCCTCGTGAAATCCTGATCCCATTCACATCATGCCAGCTCTGGCATCTTTTCCTCTCCATTGACCCAAAGAAGGAACACAATTTTTTTCTCTTTACTTCTCCAAGCAATCAATATTGAAGGTTATTGTATGTGATAGAATCCAAGCTGAGTCTTTGAGAGGATCAGAGAGGGTTACCAGAGTACACAAATACATAAAATTACAGAATGTGATGCATCATCTGGTTACTATGGTAACAGGTCAGACCTAACTACACAGTAAAGAGCTCTCTAAGAAGTAACCTTTCAGCTATTACACAGAACATCTAAAGACAGATGTATATGTCTAAAAAGACTGAAAATCTCTAAATCATAATGGTGAGAGTGGCAAAAGATTTTAGCAATGTTTTCTTCCTTACATATATTCTTAAAAGCTCATATGATAAATAAAATTTTTATACATGAACATATAAAAATTAATCAGTGAATAAATATAGATACAGATGAAACACTTTCTCATAGCCCATGTTCACAAAACATACTCAAAGTATTCTGAGCAGTGAAACAGCCACAAATTTCATTTAAGCAATTTATATAATATTTTATTTATATATAAGTTTTATTAAAAATACAGAATACTACTGCTTATCTGATTTTTTTTTAATATTCCATAGAATTTCATGATTTTTTTTAAAAACAATCCTTGGTTCAGGTAGGTGTTAGAAGAAATTAGATTGGTCTCTGTTAACTTATTTGTTCACTTTATTTTTATTGATATTTTTTAATTTTTATAAATGTTTTGAATTCATTTCTTTGAAATTACAGGAAGATATGGACATTGGAATAAACCTTTTACAAATTAGAATAGATTCAAGATTAGTATTTATTTCTAATATCATTGACCAATGCTATAAGCCCATTTAAGTATTTTTTCCTTCAAAATATGGAGAATCAAACATATTACCATGTAAGTAAAAAGATGATTTTTAATTGTGTAGTTTAGTACCTACATAAACTGCTCTATTTTAAGGATTTTCACTGAGGAACCTTAAAATCAGTTTAACTATCAACAGATATTTTTTATAATTCACTTAAAATAATCAAACACTCTACATCTGAAAAATATCCCTCTTATAAATATTGTGTTTTAATGCCTTTCAAATGGTGTAATCAAATGGTCATTTTAAGAGATGATGAATTATTTAGAATTTCACATGTTATACTAATACCTCTCCAAATATAATCTCCTATTAAATATCCCACAAGGCTTCCAAATAAATTCAGTGGGTTAGAGACAATAGACACAATAGAGTTCAAGTGAATTTTAGCATTAGAGATGCATGGACCCTCATAAGCTCTCCTTCAAGGGATTGTTCTTCAGAGCAATAATTGGCAAGTGGTTTGAAGCAATCAATTAGAAGTTTCCATGAGTAAGTAGGAGCCAAAGTATTGTGGTCTTGGCTCAAGGATACCTCTGTGGAATGACCGTTCAAATCCATCATGAGCAGAGTCCACTTTGTTTTACATTACACTTGTGTACTTCATCAAGAGCTCATCAACATGCAAAAGCTCTCATTCCAACTTGTAAAAGTCATGGTGGCTCTTCCAGACGATCTCCAAGACAGGAGAGAGAAGCCAGAATAAGCAACACAAGCCTGTTGCCCCGCCAGTGACCTTTATCTTGAGCTTGAGTTACTTCCTGATGTAGATGTTGGAGACGGTTCATTTTGTATGTGACTTCAATCCAAACCAGCTCCCTAAAATGAGGTGAAAATGAAACTTTTGATCCTTTGGGCCCAAAGGAGGGGTAAGACATGATGAGTGCGACTGCTAAATGAGGTTCTCTGGTACTTTTGGCAGGATTTTCCTTTTCTCCTTGTGTATAACATGGGCTCACCTTCTGAGAGTCAAAATAGAGGAAAAGTCAATGTGGCTTTTCTATCCAAATTCAAATATCTTCAATTCAAATCTGCTGAACAAGGATCATCTATTTCAAGAGACAAGAGAGCCCTTTAATGAGAGACTTGCTGCCTGCAGTTTTCCTGTAAGGTCTGGAGCAATGTGTGTCTACAATCCTTGTGCTAAATGGGATAAGGGAAGGAGCTGGTGAGATGAGGTCATGAGAACAGAAGAACTTTCTTGGAATGTTATTAAACTTATTAATGTCTTAGTTTGACTCTATGATGTAGAATTCAGCTAGCTTATCTCAGATGATTTCCAATTCAACAGATAGTTGAATGGTCCCAAACTATAGCTTGTACCTCATCTACTTCCAGCTTCCCAGGAAACCCAGAAATTCAGCACAGGGCCCTCTTCAACCGCAAAGCTTCATGCAGGGTATGCGCAAAAACAATCGCTGCATAGGTATTTTATCAGTAAATTGGGGCCCAAGGTGGCCTTGTTCTATTTTTTATTTCCTCAAAGATTTGATGGAAAAAGAATGGAAATAAGAAGAATACCTCTAGGGGTATTATTCATTTCAATCATCAAAATAGTTAGACAATGGAGACAAAAGGAAAATTCTAACTATATCACAATCTCATTTTTCCAAAAAGGAAGGGGTTATCAGAGTTGATTTATGAAGTGTCAGATTTAAAGAAGTTATATTCTGGGAGAATTTGCAGTTTCTCTTTCCATTGCACGTCAATAGAAAAATGCCTTTAGAGGGTACTGAAGGAAGAAAAAAAACTGTACAAAATGGTAAATAAGACTTTGTAAGCCTGAGAGAAGATTTAGGTTTAAAAAGTGGGTGCTTTCAAAAGAGAGTCAGTGCATAAGTTTTAGTTAAGGTGGGAGATAGACGAGATGTGGACAGGAGTGGTCATATTGTACAGAGAGCTTAAGGAAAATGTAGAAAGAACGCTGCTACTGCTGCTAAGTCGCATCAGTCGTGTCCAACTCTGTGCGACCCTATAGACTGCAGCCCACCAGGCTCCTCCGTCCCTGGGATTCTCCAGGCAAGAACACTGAGGTGGGTTGCCATTTCCTTCTCCAGTGCATGATAGTGAAAAGCGAAAGTGAAGTCGCTCAGTCGTGTCCGACTCCTTGGCGACCCCATGGACTATATAGCCCACCAGGGTCCTCCGTCCATGGGATTTCCCAGGCAAGAGTACTGGAGTGGGTTGCCATTGCCTTCTCCGGTAGAAAGAATGAGAGGCCCCTTAATAAGCAATGTATTAGGAAGCAATAGTAGTGTTTTGAGGGATTTGAACAATCAATATATTCTCTTAAAGATACCTGAGGAATAGAACTATGCTCATGTTTATTGATCACTTTCTATATGCCAGTTTCTCTGCTAGCAATATCCATCCTCATGAGGTTTATTTAATCATATATGGTGTATATTATATGTCATATACTTATTATAAATCAATCCTGTAAGGCATGGATTTCTCTCTCACCTTGACATATAAATTTGCACCCCTATTTTAAATGGGGAGAGACTGATATTCAAAGTCAATATCTTGCCAAAACTCACACTGCTATTGAAGACCATGTTGACAACAATGGCAGTAGTGGCCAGTTACACAAGTGTGGATCTAGAGAAGTAGAAACAACAGAGTTTGAGTGACTTGGGAATTTGGCTTCATCTCAGATCACATGTACTGCTTCTCCCAGGAGCTCTCACACACTCTCCCTGAGCTCAACACAATCACTACACTTCCTGGCCCACGTCTTGATGTCTTTTAATGTGTCTGTTGACCGCTCTTGGCACTGAGCTCCCTAGGAGCAAATGAAGAGTTAATACCTTGCTTTACTTTCTTTTCATTTAAGTCTAGGTAACTAATAGTGAAATGTAAATACAAGCCAAAGAGTGTATGTGTGTGTTTGAAAGACTGGCTGTAACTTTTTCCGCAGAGACTGTCCATTACACATGAAATGATTCAAGCTTCTTAGAGTCCCACCCTGGCCCTGCATGAATCTGTGTCTCCAGCCTCATCCCCTGTTTCTGTCCCTCTATTACCTTTATTCCAAACCCTTGGTCTTCTGTCTGTTCTGGAACAAGACAAGCATATTCCTACCTGGCGTCTTTGCAGGGCTGGTTCCATGTTAACATTCAAGTTGTCACTTCTTCCAGGAGGCTTTCAACAGTGACCATCTATGAAATGCCTCCCCCACCCCCAAGCACTGTTACGCTCATTCCATTCATGTTGGCCTCTGAATTAATTTATTTGTTTGATGATTAACTTGCTTTTCTTTCATCTTAGCACTGGAATCTCAAGCTACATGGAAGTAGCTTTTCATTTCACTTTTGAATCTCCAAAGCCTGGTGCATAATAAGTGCTTAATAAATATTTATGAATAAGTGAATGAATTGATCACCCATCTCACCATCTTGCTGGGTAGCATTATCAGTTAGAATGGATATACCTGAAAATAATAGCTAATAATTGTCAACTTATTATTACTGTACTAGTATATTCTGGGAACTGTTCTAAGTGCTTTATGTGGATTAATATATTTAACTTTCAGAGAAATCTAAGTGAAAGTCACTTATTCATGACAGACTCTTTGCAACCCCATTGACTATACGGTCCATGGAATTCTCCAGGCCAGAATACTGGAGTGGGTAGCTGTTCCCTTCTCCAGGGCATCTTCCCAACCCAGGGAGTGAACCCAGGTCTCCCCCATTGCAGGTGGATTCTTAACCAGCTGAGTGAATACTGGAGTGGGTAGCTGTTCCCTTCTCCAGGGCATCTTTCCAACCCAGGGAGTGAACCCAGGTCTCCCCCATTGCAGGTGGATTCTTTACCAGCTGAGCCACCAGGGAAGCCCTAACATGGTCCCAATTTTGCACATGAAAAACTAAGACCCTCAGAGTATATAGTTTTTAGCATAGAACATGGTACAATGTAGGTACAAGAGAATAAGTTACACAAAATGAATGATAGCATCTGGTTTTCTAACTTATCACCTGGCCTATGATATAGTTCCTAAAACTCATTTCAACCCACCCACTGTGGCAGAAATTTGTGCTTTACCTTCAGGATTTTGCAACCACTGTGTAGTTTAAGGCATCACCTGCAGCTTTAAGTGTCAACCCCTTTGTTCTCACACATCCCTCCCCGTAATTGTGTTAAAGCTCATAGCACATTCACAGTGAAAACGTGTGTTTACTTGTCTGTCGCTCTGATGAGATGGAGTCTTCCAGAGCAGGGACACTGTTTTCTCACCCAGATATCATCCATGACTGTCACAGCCCCGAACACAGCAGGGCAGATTCTCAGAAAGTGTTCACTGGACACCACTGCTCATAAACTGAAACAAGAAATTAATTGCTTGTTCCTCCAAACATAAGAATCAAATTTTCACCAGTAAAATGTGTTTTTAAATAATCTCAAAATGACTAGTATGATAAAAATAGTATTTTTGGCTTTTCTTATGGAATAATCAGATTGATCAGTTGTATATTTCATATTTACTCATGTCAGAGATAGGCATCTTGAAAAATACATATTAACCTTCGAAATGTACATGAGCATGACTTTTTTGGGCCACATTATTTAAAGTGTCACTATGAGGTTTTGATTCCCTTCATATGTAACTCACAGTTCATTAAGTCACCCCCCTAATACACAGTTAGTTCATTCTATTGATAGATAAGAAAACCTCTAGCCTTTCAGTCCTGGGATTTGGTTAAGCAGATCATCTAAAACAGTGGATGTTTCTCTAAGGCTTATCTGATTAATCCAAACCTCTGGAGTCTACTATACTGGGCTAGAAATTTTAGAAGGAGAGGTACTCTCATAATATTTTTCAACACAATTTGTTTCTGACTTCAGCCAAAAATAACGTAAAAGAGATCTGTCGACACATTAAGGTTCAAAATTAGATTAAAAAAAAAAAGATGTGGAGGAAAACTAAAGTCTTTGAAATTTAAAAAAGTTCCAGTCTGGGTTGCAGTTCAAACAATAATAAAGCCACAACATAAGGGTAAGTGCATCAGACAGTCATCGTTTATTTTAACAGGTTACTGTGTGGTCCCCTCTCAGGTAGGAGCTGAGTCCATCCAGTCTTTCTCTGCCTCTGGCAAATTCATCTCAGCGAAAAGGTCTAGGAGATGATGAAAAGGTAAGAGTTCCGAGGAGGGCAGCCTATAATAAGAAACACAATAACAGGAAGTAGGTGGTAGACACACAGCATTAAAATGGGCCTTAAGTGTGAACTCGAGGGGGTGGGGAAGAAAAGTGAAAACAAATTGGCGGTGGAGGCCAAGGAGCAGAGCAATTCTTCTGCCCTGCGGAGGAAACCTTTGCCTGCATATTTGGAGAATGTTGATTTTCCCCTGTCAGGCAACTTTAATTGAATCCACCCTCCTAGGAGTGACCAAAACAATGTAAGGAACCATCTGCCCTTGAACGAAGTATGTATTTTGCACACCTACAGATAATTTAACATTTCCCAAAGCATTTTAAATGGTTTTGGCAATATAGGAATTATTTTGCTTTTTGTGTGCTGCAAAGCAAAAGCACAATTTAATTATCTTAATTTGGTATATTAAGCACTTGTTTGAAGTGAACTAGAATTCCAGGAAGCTTGTAAGACTAAGCTCCAGTGGCATTACCTAGGGACATAATTCCATGCAAACTGGAGCATAAATAAAATCACAATACAATACACAGAGCCTGTATAAGAAGGTGGGGTGGGGGTGGGAGCGGAAAGCTTACCAATCTAGAGTCAGTCTCTTATAAAAGGCTTTTGGTAAGGTTACAGTATTTGCCCATAGATGCTATAGTGTAAAAAGCTAAACGGAGCAAACCTTTTCAGTTTCCTTTTTTTATTTTTAAAACTGAATTGGTATCATGTATCCTGATCATTCCCCTCATTCATTGGGCTCATTCTATGTTTTGTTTCCTTAAAGAACGAACAACAAATTCTAGTCACCATTTTCTGAAAAAGACACTTGAAGTGATTTGCTTGAATGGAGCCCAAAATCAAGTGAATGGAGAAAAATGCATAATATTTCAAGGCACGAAGAGAGAGCGGAATAGCATGAATCTTGCTGGTGGTGGTGTTTTTAAGTTTTCCTACGACTGAGCGACTGAACTGAACTGAATCCCCCATATTCTCGTGACACTTGTAAGGTTCTGTTTACCCCTGATTTTCTAATAAAACAGTCTTTTCCCATAGTTCCTAAAAGGGTTTCAAGCAAAATGAAGTACAGGTTTATAATGCGCATGTGTACAATCCACCGGGCCACTTGTGAAATATCATGCTCATTACTGATAGTGGAGTTAGCAGGGAATTTGAAACCCATTTAGAAATGCTAGGAATTATCTCAGGAGGAGTAAGAGCCTTATTTGGACTGAAGCCGCCTGGAAAAATATGAAAAGAAAGACTCCAAGGCTAGACTGCTACTTGTGCATCTTCACACACGGGCCACAGCACAGCTGGGTAGAGATGCCTCGTTCTCTTCTGCAGCAGGCACTGAGCAGAGATGATGGAGACCAGTCTTCCACCAGCTGCATGCCCGTTCTCACCAGGGGCAGCACAGAAGTTTAAAGAACCGTTTATGGTTGAACAGTTTCTCTGCACTGCACACGAAGTTATGAAGCCCACAGCAAGGTTGGTTGCCATTTTCTTTTCTATGTTCTTCCAAATCTCAGGAGAGTTGCAACCAAGAATGAAAGACGGAAAACTACTACAGGGAAGACAGGAAGGGCTTTCAGGGGGCTGCTGCTGCCCAGAGCATCTTTCAAATGGAAACCATCATAACAGCCCGGGCGTGGGGGCGGCCTTGGAGCCCTGGATGCGTCTGGCACTCCAGACCCGTGGAAACTGGATGCGTCTCTGTGGTGAGTGGAATCTGGGCCACCCATGGGGGCAGGTCAGGCAGGAGTACACGGGCAGTCTGTCCAAGCCACACCAGGAGGGGAGACACCCACCACTTTGTGGTTCTAACCACAGGTTGGGGATTCCCAGATACAGAAGTGTGTCATGACAGCTTTGTGGTGTAGACAGAGGTTTAATCTGACGTGGCAAATCCCTGGCAATTTTTGGACTTTCCCGCTGGATCCAAAACACCTCTGAGAAGGCTTCCCTGGGGTCCACGGCAGGTGGTCAGCACAACTGACAGCAGGGTTTTCCTCTCTGAATTTCTGGATTCATGGTTCTCCCCTTGGGATACACTGGTAACCAAAGTCCAACAAGGACCGTGGACCAAAGGGATGATGCAGCGTGAAGACAAGCTGCTAAACAAATAATATCCAGATAAATCTTGCATGACAATTGCGATAAAGGCTGTGAGGAAGTGCAGGATATTGAGAAAGCAGAGCTCATATATTCTATATCACTGTTTCCTCACTCAGCATTTGACACTAACTGCTTTCTATGGGGAATGAGTTTTCCTGTTCTGGACAGGCCCCTAACTTTTCTGAGTGGACTGTTAATTCATGATATGGACAGGGACTTGACCTGAGAGTGTATTAGTTTGAAGAGATCTTTGATTAGAGCCATACGAGGGCACGTGACGGTTTACTGTGAACTGAATCGTGTTAAAGAAACGCAGCTCTGGAACAAAGAGGATGGAGGGGATGTGATTAGAAAAGGGAACTCATTTAGCCACTGCATTGTAGCCTGGGGTGGGGCTGCGGAGGAAGGGAAGTTCCTCTGGAGGCACGCGTGTCTACACGCCTCTCAGTTCCCATCAGAAATGTGTGGGAAAGGAAAGCAGGAAGAATGACTTTAAAATCCTGCCCTTTCTCTACCTCTAAAGGAGGAGACCTTTAGCCCATGGTTTAGCAGAGATCCATCATGAGCCTTCAGAGACACACAGTTAGCAGTGGAACGAAGGAGCAGGTAGAAAGTTACATACATTTTCTGGAAAAAATAAGCGAGGAGAATGGAGTCGGGGTGAGGGAATGCTGGGTGTACAGAGAAAGACCTAAGAAACTCCCGCCAACTCTGCGCTAAACACCAGGCGTTGGGTGACGAGGAGACTTCAGGAAAACAGGATGTGCTCAGCTCTGCAGGATAACGTGACGGACGGTGGACGGAAGCGGGGGATTTGCCCACGAAGCCTCCTTCCTCTTCTCGGGACACAGCACCCGGGCCCACCCCTGCTCCAGAGCGGGCAAGTGCCTGCTCGGCTTCCCTCCTTCACCGAAACTCTGCGCTGACTTTCCAGGGTTCACGCCGGGCCCTGAGCCCCCTTCCCGCTGCTGGGGAGGATGCTCCTCCTCTCCTGCGGCAGAAAGGGGACTCCGCTCAGGCCCGCTGTCAGCGGATGCGGAGACTTCACGCAGACCAGCCTCATCGCTGATGAGCTTTGTCCTGCATCAAAAAACAACCACCGCCACAAGAATCTCCCATAATTTTGGCTGCATGGCTTTCCAGAAATAGAGTATCTATGAAGCTGGCTTTCAGACTGTACTATGAGAAAGATCGAGTCTCTTTTAAACCACAGAGAGTGTGAGGTTGCCGAGTTCGGTGCTGTCAGGGCAGAACTCCAGGCTCCCTGCAGGTCCAGACCTGCGGTGACGGTTGTTCCACTTTCCAGATCGGCTCATAACTACTAAGACCTTTGCTGCACACTTAATGTGCGGCGTTTCTCTCCCCCACTGTTACTCATGATTGAAACAGCTCTAGAAGGCAGGTGTGGGAAATGAAATATTATCGGAATAGAAGGTGATGATCACCATTAGATCTCAAGCTAAATTTTCTAGCTAGGATTTAAATCATTTAAATTTCATATAATTTCAGAGACTACCTTCTCTTCTTAAGAGAAAAACACCTTGTCCATTATTGGGCAAATTCAAATAGAAGGAACTAGAGGAAATTATCTTTGACTGGCAGTGAAGATAAGTGGTTTTATATTTTAGCTGTCAAATGTAACTATTCCTTATAAATCTTGAATGGCAACTGCTTTTCTTCTGCTCCTCCTTTTCTGGCCTTTTTTTTTTAAATACCCAGGTAAGAAATTAGAATATATTTCAGCTCTGATTTAACTTATTCAAGTACCAAACAGGATGTACAAGGTCTCCTCAAAGGGGAACCATTACTTGTTAAAACTGGAACAGATGGTTAAGAATTCCTTTAATAGTCTTGCAAAAAAAGGTAGATCATAGGCCATTAATGACCTCTGTAGTGAAATAAAAATGAACCTCAGCACTGAAAGCAAAAAATGGAGAGGCAAAATCTCATTAAAATAAAATCAGCCACTATGGAGAACAGTATGGAGATTTCTGAAGATGCTAGGAATAAATTTACCGTATGACCCAGCAATCCCACAACTGGGCATATATACTGAGAAAAACTATAATTCAAAAAGACACATGTACCCCAGTGTTCATTGCAGCACTCTTTACAACAGCCAGGACATGGAAGCAATCTAAATGTCTATCAACAAGTGAATGGATAAAGAAGATGTGGCACATATATCCAATGGAATATTACTCAACCTTAAAAAGGAGTGAAACTGAGTCAGTTGAAGTGATGTGGATGAACCTAGAGTCTGTCATACAGAGTGAAGTAAGTCAGAAAAAGAAAAACAAATATTGTACATTAACACATTATATGGAATCTAGAAAAAATGGTACCTATGAACCTATTTGTAGGACAAGAGTAGAAACACAGATGGAGAGAACAGACTTGTGGACTCAGCAGGGGGACAGACTGGGTAGGGACAAATTGAGAAAGTTACATTAACATATACACACTGCCACGTGTAAAATAGATAGCGAGTGGGAATCTGCTGTATAGCACAGGGAGTGATCTGTGATGACCTAAAGGCGTGGAATGGCGGGGGGAATGGGAGTGAGACCCAAGAGAAAGGGGATGTACGTATACTTATGGCTAGTTCATGTTGTTGTGCAGCAGAAACTAGCACAGAAGTGTAAAGCAATTATCCTCCAGTAAAAAATAAAATAAAAATGTGACTCTTTTGCCTCTTTCTCTTTAAAGTAGGGTACCATCTAGAAAGGAAATGTCAGCTGCAATAGGATGATTCACTACACCAACAACTGGGTGCATTTGTGGTGGCAACTGCAGTGGCCAATGAATGTACACCCTCTGTTTGTGGAACCAGAGATTATTAGAAGGATAAGGGACATCTCCATGATCTTCAGACTGTCCTCCAGTAAAACTAGGATTCAGAGAAGAATGTTCTGGGCCACTGCCAGACTCAGGGGATGACAGGGAGGTCATCCTGAACACTAGATCCTTGCTCTTCAGCTCTGTATCTACCTCATCATATCTACTTCAATTTATCTGTCATGCTCCAGCCACTTGAATAGTGCCCAACACATAGTTGGTACTCAATAAGTATTTGTTGAATGACAGAATGAACAGATATTTGTAGAAACTAAGATTCTGCTTAAGATTACATAGTCAAAGGACCACAGCTAAAAAGAAAGAAGGAAGAAAAGATTGAGTTCAGTACCCTGAAACATCTAGCTTGAGGGGGTGAAATATCTAGCCCAAAGCGACGACACATTATTGTCTGAATCTACTTCCAACCATCTGATCTTCCTTATAACACACTTGCATCGTCTCTTCACAGATTTATAGCTCATGGAACTATGGTGCTGTCACCCTTGTTCTGCTTGCAAAGCTCCAGACTTGCCTCTATCTAAATCTTCCAAACCCTGGTTCAAGCACTTTGTAATGAAATTATAGTCAGTGATGTGTTAAGTTAGTAAGCAAAGAAGGCATCTAAATACTGTTTTATATATAATGGCTGGTTAAAGACCACAATCCATCAATCTTTCTCTTTAAATGGAAAGAGAAAAATCAAAATCATGGTGTGTCTGCCTTGCTCTTGTTTCTTTAATCTCTTGGTCTCTTCCTTATGGAAGCAAAGGACCAAATCCCTAAAACAGAGCCCATTTGAGATGTTTCCACCATGGCTCACACAGGGAACACCAAAAAGATCGTGAGGGAGCTGGGTCCTGAGAGAGTTCTAGCCCAGGTTACACACTCCAGAGAGTGAAATGTGTCAGAAAGCATTCAGAAGAAAAATAACACTAAATTATGGGGGGGTTACTCAAATAAATCCCTTCCCAGTAATCTCTTACTGATACTTGGGTTTTAGTTAGAAACTATTTACTGTGAATCTATCATCTTTCATATAATCTTTCTTTAGCTA